AGAAGTTCGGTGAGGTGTTGGAGTCGAATTTCCACACGGCAAACAAAGTATTCTGGCAGACCATCGGCCGGCTCAGAGATGAAAAGAAGGGCAGTCTCAGAGTCCTGAAGGACAGGTCTGGACAACCTCTTACTGAGAATGAGGACATTCTGAACTATAGAGAGAATACTCTGAGGAACTCCTTAACCATAAGCAACTACAGGAAAACTCGCCCGTAAAGCAGCAGGGAACGGATATTACTATTTTTCTAGAGAAAATCACACAGGCTGTGAAAAGCTTGAAAAGTGGAAAGGCCGATGGAATCGATGAAATCCGTGCTGAAATGCTTAAAGCAACGGGCGAACGAGACATTTTCTGGTTACACGTGTCTGTCAAACTGCAGTGACAACGGAGAAGACACCAGCGGACTGGAGAATTGGATTTATTGTACCCCTCTTCAGAAAGGAAGACTGCAGGGAGTGCTACAATTATGGGGGCATCCCTATTTGACCCTCCGGGGTAAAGGCAAAGGTGCTAGAAGGGAAATGTTGCAGAATTGTGACTTTGATATACAAAACGAGCAATGTGGCTTCAAGTCAGACCGAAGCACATCTGACCAGATCTTCTTGTAATGACGGATTGTTGAGAAATCGTTGGTGTTCATCCATCCGGTTCGAAGCCTCTCACCGCTGGCATTGATTTTCGCCAAGGCTGCTTCCTGTCTCCTCTTCTGTTTGTGTTGTACATGGGTAGAATAGTGAGGAGCAGCCAAGGTGATGAGGGCATCGGTGTAGGAGATGTGAAGACGAAAAGGTTCCTTTTTGCAGACGACCTTGCTTTATTGTCATCTTCTGAAACTGATCTACAGTGCCCCCTAGAAAGTTTTGCCGCTGAGTGCGACGTGGCCGGCATGCACTGAACGCATTTAAAACAAAATGTCTTGTGCTTTTTCGCTATTCTGCCCGTTACTCTCTTCAGATTAACGGAGACGCAGTGGAGCAGGTGGAGAAGTTCAAATCCCTCAGAACTGTATTTGCTAGTGATGGAAAATTTGAGGAGGAAATCGTACGGCGGATTGGTGTAGCCAGTGGCGTTCTCGGTGAACCAGCCCGAATGTTTGTGACAAAAGCTGTTCATCCCCATGCTTACCTATGGTAATGAGTCATGAATGAAAAATTTCGACGCCAGGAACAAACGGCTGAAATGGACTTCCTTAGAGGAGTCGCTGGCCTTACGCGTCTCGACTTGGTTCGGAATACAGACATCCACGAGAGCTTTGGTGTACAGCCTCCGCTACTGCAGATTGAGAAGTCACAACTGCGAAGGTTTGGACATGTGTAGCGAATGCCTCCAGAGAAGGAAGCGAAGCAACTATTTCCATCTCATCCGAGTGGCAGAGGGCCATGGGGATGGCCAGGATTGACCTGGGGCAAATATGTGGAAGGAGTCTCCTCCATACTGCGATTGTCGTCTGCCGAAACTCAGGATCGAAAACGTTGGAAGCTCTCTCTGGCGCGTCTACGTTCACGACTCGAAGGGAGAACCGGTTATAGAGGAAGACGATGAAAAAGAAGTTGAGTTAAGCATTTCTTTAAAATATAGGTTTGACTCACACTTTGTATGAGCTCTAGAGTAAAGCCGAATTATTAATAATCTGGGTTTAACCATAGTGGTTGAATGCAAGATATCATAAACAAAGTCTAATTATAATGAAAAACGTCTGACCGCAACTATTCCATAAGATGGACTCAAACACTGTAGCACTTCTAGGGTAAACCCAACATATTATCCAACCTAGGTTTAACTTTTGAGCTGGGCTTAAGTTTGAACCTCAACCCAAGACATTGCATAGAACATACAATTATAGGGAGGAATAAACGGATTTACTTTCGTTGCTTTCCAATCGAGTGTTTTGAAAACCTCTTCGACAGCTTCTGTGAATCGATTGATTTTGTATTGCTTTGTTGGAGGTTCTCCCAGTTTTTAAACCTGTCGGACTTGGTAAAAGTTTACACTGTATTACACTTGTTCGTGCTGATAAAATTCCTGTACGCTTTGTAAAGTCATCAATGGCTCAGAAAATCTAACGCAGATTTGTTATAGTGCGAGTCGAAGGCCTTTTTGAAATCAATGAATCCTGAAACAGGGAGCCAAAGTTACATCGTTCGTTATTTATCTGAATTATTTTATGTATCATCTGACGGTGACTCCTTGTACTAAATCTATTTTAAAATTCTGTTGCCTCTTTCCTTGTACAAGGTATAAGCTTTTCCTTAAGTCTGCTCCTCGATGCCCTCAATGTAAACTTAGTGGATGACTGGCAGGAAGCTGATCTATATGCAGTCATTTCGAATTTTCCTTCTTGTATTCATTATGATTCTACCTTTCATATAGTGGAATTATCAACATTCTTGTAACGTGACCAAAATACCACAGTCTTCAAGTGTGAATATTTCTCAGAAGTTTGCTGCTGAGCTCTGATCTCAGACTGTTTCAAAGCCTTTCATCTTTTAGACAAATTCTCCGTTGAGTTTGCAACAGATATTACTATGGTTATATGATAATGGCTTTAAACATTGGTCTTTCATGTATGGGCCTAGCCAAAGAAGCTTAAGAACTGTCTTAGAATTAAAATCATTCATCTAATTGCTCTGATTAACGTTCCTGAAATCAAGCATCGACATAGATTAAAAAAAGGTTGTTTTGACTTGGAGGATTATGTAATTAACTGATGAATACTTACATCTACATCGAACAAAGCACGGTTTCGTCATTTCGGTATCTACGCATTTCACAAGTTTCCGTCGTGAACTTCGCACGCATTTCTTGTAGCCGTCGCCGCAAGGCGCTCCTCCAAAAGTCTTGCACTTCTCACATTTCCAAAGGGTGCATTCTAAAAACTGCCAAGTGGAAAACTTAATAAATCAAGGGTACACATATTGTTTCATAATTAAGCCGTACTTAGTGATAAAAATAATTCAGTATCAAATGACCATTGCCCTTGAAAGAAAAGCTTGTATCTCCACTTGTTCAATCCCTTTTAGTTTTTGATATCGGACTGAAGTGGTGTAATGGCACCGTCTCCTTGTTTCTAGTCTCCCAGAGGACCACTGAAGCAGGTCACGGTTCCGTGGTATTCGAGCACCTGCAGCACATGGATGCTGAACCGCATCACTTGGCAGGACCGAACAAGAACTTGTTCAGACACCTGCATAAATGGCCCCCTAGACCACTAGAAGCAAGGAGTCGATGTTTAGGCTGCTTTAATCCGATATCGAAAGCTGAAAAGAATGATATATCTTAGCAGTATACAAGTAAACCCATAAGTTCAGGTTTAATTTTCCTCCACTTGTTCATTTTGTATATTTTTCAGCTGTTTTTTCACCCAATGCGAAAATTAGTTATTCTGTTTTTCTTCTTCGCCAGAGGAGGCTCACAGAGCATGAACAGCCGAGTATCTCAGATTTATGATTTCTGTTCATTATATGTTAATTTTCTGCGGGTTCAGATTTCTTGTCAAGGGTGGTTGAATCACCCCGTGGACGTGAACTCATCATCTTACAGGCAATAATAATGTAATTCCAACAATGACCGTACGCGATGTGAAAAATTAAGGCATACAGTATAAAACGTAGTCTTGGGATGATCAATCAATCGCGGTACGAACGCTTCATCATATGTTACTTGCTACTTGGATATCGTACGAATCAAGGCTAATTTCTCTTAACCTGACAGATCCGGTAGATTGGATAGATTTGAATGTTCCAGATATATATTAGAAAACCTCAAGTGGAAAGAATTACTTGTCTTTCTGACAGGCCAACGAGATGTCACCAAAGTTCAGCTAAACGCTGTCTTTAAAAAATCATGAGAATGAAAACCCCAACTTCTATAGTTTATCCTTTCATGAACGTCTCTGGCACATTTATAAAGCTTTTTAGGTTTCAAACGCATGTCGTTTGTGGAATTTTTTAATTTAAATCGCATAATCATAAATTGTTATTAATGGCATTTGTGAGAATTCAAAAAACAGTCACAAATCTTTTGCCCCTGGAGAAGAATTGTAACAAGAATATCAAGTTTGGGCATCGTTATTGTATTGAGGGTTTTATGTCATATGCAACCGGATTTACTATTTTCTTTCAACTTAGCGTTGTAATTCATAAAACGTTTTCATGTTCTTCACATTTGCAAGTAAATCGTCATCATCAGATGGCATAATGAGATAATTTAATCACACTTTCTTGGGCCATTCGCACAGTCATTGACCCTTAATAATTCTTTGATCATTATTCTGTTTCTAGGAGTGTAGGTTTGTTATTTTTTCTCGGGGAACAATACCATTACAGCCTCAGAGAACCTCTGCCATTGCCATAAAAACTCAAAAAAATTCTACCGAATTTTAACCCAAGGTCTTATGCCATATTTTTCCTGAACAAACTCTCTCTTACGAGAACATGCAAATTAAATAGCGGGAAAACATTGAGGAATAATGCCAGTGAAGGCGAGTTTGCCCAGGGAATACGGATGCAGAAGCACTCTGAACTGAAACACTTCAACGATGCAGCTACTACCGGACTGATATCTGACAAACAACACGCTACAATGATTGCCTTGATGAACTGTGGATGCTAACTGCAGCGAAGCCTTGATTCTCATCAACAGCTGCTTAGGTTTCTACAAGTACAAAAGCTCCATAATATTGTTGTATTAAGCTGACCAATAATGCTTATAGCTTGACGTTTTAAAAATACTTAAATGTAGAATGTTAGTAATTTTACTATATAGTTATCGGAACTTCCTTGAAAGCGTTTTGAGGTATAATTATGAAGCTAAGCGTTAAACAGAGATGGAAAAATTTCACTAGTGGTGGACATGTTTCGTTACCAGGGAAAGTAACATCGTTAGAACTTAATTGTCATGATCGATATATGTAATGATCATTTCACATACTTTTAGATTTTTCTATTAAAATCATTTTCAATATTAGAAATCGAAAAGCAATATTTTGTTTTGAACTTTACATTATTCGACATTTCAAAAGTTTCATTAAGTGCCTAATTTAGTTAACCCTATATGAGTCCCATTTTTGAGAAGATATTATAACGTAGGGAAATAATGACTTAATATTAAGCAGATAGGTGAATTGTGCCGTTTTTTGATTTCCTGAACCGCTAATATTTAACAGTTAACCCTAGCGTGTCTCGGCCTATCTGGTGAACTAGTTAGCTTGTGATTAGCTTGTAACAGGGGCCCTGATGCAATACAAAAGGAGCATTAAATGACAAGGCCATTTAAGTAGTCACGTTATTCCTCCTTGAACACAAGTGTGTTCAATGTCCTTAGCGTTGTAACAGCCATAATGACTCCATCGAGACCAGCAGAAACTTTGAACAGCAGCGTTAGATGATACTTGTAACAATTTCTTATGCTGCCAGCTCCAAATCTCTCACAGATTCATTCTGCATGGATTCCGCAACGACCTTTGCTTAGGCTGATGAACGGATATGAAATGGCCAGTGGCCTTGTGTTCTACCAGAATGAAGGAACGGCCAATGAAGCCGACGGCATTGCTGTATGTGAGCAAGGAATGATTTTGGCAACGGCTGATTGTGTTCACACTATCCCTTAGAAATATTTGGAGAAACGACCCTACAGTATCCTTCATGGTCCATAGTTCATATTAAAGTTGCTGATCTTCATCCTCAATTGAAAATCCTACAGGACAGGGAAAGGACTTACGCATGCGACAGCACTAAGTTGCCTCTGAAGTTTGTTTGTAGTTGTCAAGGGTCAAAGCGTCACCTCAAGTTTTTGTCAAATCACCTTCTGTACCTATGTACTTGTACTATGAAGAAGTAGTAAAGAATTTATTCCTTGCGGGTTTACCGTCATACGGATCATAAAACATAAGTAATAAACGAAATTTATCAGGTCGACCTCGTTCGAAGAAACCAGTTTGTCTGAAACGGAAGAGAAAATCATGAGATTGTGCACTACCTGATTTCGATATGGTGCACATTTTGACTGATATAACGCCAACACGTTTGTAAATTACTGACTCCGGTTACTTGTATGAGTCGTAGACATTCTTCTTCTTTTTCCTTTACTTTTTTTCTTCTTTTTCTAGTTCTTTTTCTTCTTTTTTTCGTCTTTTTTCTTACTCTTCTCCTTCTTGTTCTTCTACCTGAGCCGATTACCTGATGTCCATTCTTCTATCCTTTCGAGGTCATTATAGTTTTGTCGCTGATTGCAGAAACCGCATAGAATTTATCATATGGATTGGATTTCATTGGTAACGGACCAGGAAGCGGACACGCTGTGCATTTTCATGATCATTCGTAGTCATACGTATGCAGTAAAGTGTTATACCACTTGCATGAATATATACGTTAACAATCTTTCGGTTATGTTTGGTGCAGGTTTGTCACTGAAGGCTGGCCCCTTTCATATCCTCCTTATCTGAATTAGATTATGTTTCGAAGTTTGAGCTGCTTTAATTGGTTTTGACTCGCCGCCCAAAATGAGGCTCTTTCGCAATATTAAGGACACGTTTTGTCGATTTTTCATTCATACATTCACGGGTATTCATATAATCACCTCCTGTTGGACTAGGTGTACGGCTTGTGCCAAGAAGATCTTAACAATCGGACGACAAACTGTTTTATGATATGATGACATAGTAGGTCAGAATGACCAACCATACAGACTAGACCGTTCTCTAAATCAACTTAGATACCAGCCAAGGCTCTATTCCCGCTTTAAGACTGTAACAACAATCATTTCAAGAAACGGTTACTTCGTCTGATTTTTCTTTAGCTGATTATAATATAGACACGATGAAGTATCCTTAAATGATTACCTTTTTACTAGTGCTAATTGTTGTCCTTTATCTTAGAATCACAAGATAGAAACTTCCACCAAGTCTATGAATTGCAGACTCCTCTTGAACTGAGCACTCGGAAATGACACAGTAACCACCTCTGATATGTCAAGATGGTGGTGTTGCCTGCCACTCGTCAGTGAAGGCTGTTCATTATTAAAAACCTCGAAAATTGCTGCCCTTCTCTGAACCCGCGATGAAAGTTCGAAATACAATGGCAATACATGACGAGGTGTCTGCATGACTTCCGAACAACCCCTTGCCAAAATGCTTGCATAATCGAAAATTCGATCAGTGTCCCACAACGAGGACGAATCGAACGAATGATTGAATGGTTGTAGTGAGTGTGATAGAGACAAAGTTTCAATACGCACTCTCTGTATATATAAATTACCGGGACTGATCGTCACTAGAAAGGCTGACTCACAATCGTAAGGCTCTGAAATCGAGCTCCAGTAGGGTCATTCACTTTTCACCTTCACTAGGTTATTAGTAGTACACTGCTTCGTCTGATGCAGACAGGTCCCTACACGCTATATTAGTCATTGAACTGTAGATACAACCTCTAGATTTCCCATAGATGAACACAGTGATGGAGTTCAAAGTCGCGCCATGAGCTTTATGAAAAGAATGGTTTTACAAATGGTGCTCGGCCATGAATGTATAAGGGAGGTAAACGTTCCAAGAGTTATAAATATTACTTTTAATTTTTTACTTTATGCATATATATATGCCTTTATTATTTTATCCTTTTGTTTGTTATTTGTCTGGCCTAAAATTCCTGCGTATTCTGACTGAAAAACATGCCTGATTAATTGGTTGCTAACTGGTTACTAAAATCTAGATCCTGAAATCGTACAAGGGTTAGATTTGTCATGAAAGAACGTATCCAGTGTTAACGGAATACCGATCCGGCCAACAGTAATCCAACATCCTCTTTGCATTTAATATGTGACTACATTACAGTGCGAGTTTCAGTATCATTCTTACCCAAGTTTTCCAAAGATTCACCATCCATACGATTCGAAAGACGTTTAATTTTCCTCAGTTTCCTGAAGGCATCATCAGATTCCGCCTTATTTGCCTATTACGCGTTATTATCGGTTCAGCGGCAGGACTTCATTATTGATAAAATATCTTTATGCATTTCTTGAGGATCAACATGTACAGTTGAGTCCAATCCATCGGCTTGGTCGTAATCGAGTCCACTTTTTCTGTTGTTTTCTTCAACAGAATTGTCGCAAAAGCCTCTGTCGACGGAATTCTGCCAGTTCTCTCTATAGATTCCTCCAATTTCATGTGTTTCATTCCATGACGGACTGACCTCAACGGCTGCAGTCGCACGGCTCAGGCTACATGTTGCGGTGCAGTATGGTAATCCAACTATAAAGGTACTGGCTGAGGCTGATTATCTGTTCGGTGCAACCTTGTGATATGTCTATGTTCCCGCAATACCTCTCTTAACCTAATTCAAGTCTAAGACCTAAACCTGCAGGAAACCGCATAGGCTTAGGATTTTGGGTAGGTTTGCGATAGTGCCATAGAAGCGTCATGTACAGAGTTAAACTGAGCATGAGTCAATTTCACTCCGTAGCAACGGTAAGGGTTTATCATTCTGAACTGCGACACATACGGCTCACTCTACCACAACGTGCCTTGACCTTGGCCGTTACCGTCTCACTCATCAGGGTCACCGAACTTGGATGATGGAATACGACCAGAGAATTGGGTCCATAATTTACTAAGCGCAACAGGAAAAGTAAACACAGAATGAACCGATC